TACACTATTTTGTAAATACTTATACTATTTTGTAAATATTTATTTTGTACTTTATTTTATGTAAACAACCCCTTTAAAAGCAGCGTAGGCTGAAGGGTTATTGTTTGTAAATAAGTTTTAATAATAATAATAATAATAATAATTTTCTCTATGAGCCACGTCTCAGATATTATGCAAATGTCAACATCGTTTGTATTCAATTCAGCATTAAGTGCCGGCGCAGCATCTGGTTTGGCCAGTGATCTAGCGTTAATTACCAAACATTTAGGTATAATCTTGGAGACGGGGGGGCCTGGTTTTAAAATTCTCACTTGTATCAAGTTGGTGTTACGCTTACGCCTATCTCCCCTCTTATTTGTAATTAGCGCATTCCGCATCGTTCTGCCGTTCCGGTAGGAAGTTCTTACTGGTATTTGACGAGCCATTGACGTGGGAGAGGACTTAAGGGAAATACAAGGAGTGCAGCTCTGTTTAGAAGGATTTAGTAAAATCTGTTTTGGTGGATCTGGGAGGATAATCGGGGAAAACTGGACCAGGGTAGTGGGATTTCCATTAACGGCCTTGGATAAGATGGGGCTTGCCATGGGTGTAGGCTGTACGTTTGGAGCTGCTGAGGTTGCGCTGTGTGGACGTTTGGTGGCAATGGCACTTGCGCTCGGGATAAAAAAGAGGCAGGTGGCAAATGGCTACTAGTAGTGGTTTTTAATACCGACCTTCTGGTTGGTACCCAAGTGTGGGAGAAATCACATCGATCGTCTTTCAGACAGAAGCCTCTGTTCTGCAAAAAAGGACAGGGGACATTATGTTTATGTGTATTGCGAGATGGTTTAAGATGCTGAATGTCGCATCGGTTTCCCTTTCGACAAGGAGTGGAATTCTTTGGGGGGCGGTCGTAACGATTCTTATTTGTCTGCTGGGTTCGCGGTTGCAAGGTCAAATTTTCATAAGTAGGTACACTAACTTCTGGATTGGACTGCATATTAGGCACATTACTTTCCGGTAGTCGATCTTCGTTGGCCTTTTTCTTAGTGCTTATGGGGACGTACTGCGTTGTAGGTGTGACACAAGATATTTCAATAGCACCAGGGAATTTTTCTATGGAGACCGAGGCCATCTTTCCTTCTAATTTGGAGATACGTGATTTGAGATGCAAATTTTCTTCACGCAATTTGCATATATCTTGCTTATTTATGTTGATAGTTTCGTCTTGCTTGGTGAGTTTAGCCAATAAATTTGATATTTCATATTCAACCGTCTCTTTAAAATTGTCAAATAATGCATTTTTTATAGTGGCGCTGTCGCTCTTGCTCATTAGTCATCCATGCAGGCTCTCAATTCAGCTTGAGAGCCTGTTCGCAGGCTATAGGTTTTCAAAAGATGTCAACGGATCTTGGATTGTCAACTCTTTGAAAATGCTGTTTTTAAACTAAAATAAGTCTGTAATTAAACTTTTCAATAAACCGGAACAGAATTAAGCTCCGTGAAATAAACTAATAAACATAATCGAATGCCACTACCTCTATAATAGTACGTATATATTATACTGTGTGTTCCTGTGAATCATGTTATTTTATGACCTTTTATCATAGCTATAACATATATACAGTAGGCAAAGGCCGCGAAAAGCTAAGGAAAATTGATCACTACGTCACCAGCAAATTAAGCGTTTTTGCCTATAAAAATGGTAGGAATATTTCACTGATGTTCATGACAGAACCTTTTAGGAACATACAGTAGCCTATAGTTATAACTACTAGCCGATTTCCGTGAATTGCCAATCGTAAACTGCTATAAAATGGTAGAAAAAATGGCTATAATCTATTCGATATACGGTAGTAAATCTAAAGCGCAGTGATTTTAATTCTAGCAATCTTATAATTCCGATTCTACTAATCTTGTGTAGCGAAAAACATATACACGCGGTAGTAAATCTATTAAAGAGTAATTAAACTGCAGTGATTTTGATTCTATACTTCCAAGGGTGGGTTGACTATAAAATTTCTGTAGTTCGATATAACTACAGCTACTTCAACAATCGGGTCTTGTCTAAAAGTACACACGAGTGAACACGAGTGACCACGAGTGACCACGAATGACCACGAGTGACCACGAGTGACCACGAATGACCACGAGTGACCACGAGTGATTTCGGTGTTTAAAAGTCATAAAATAATAATAAAAAACTATTTTAAGGTGGCTCCATAGGGTTTTTGCATTATACTACACTTTTGTATCCAGAAACTCTTGTTTCTTCACTTTATATGACACGAAGACGAAATTTATTGGACACATTGACAATGCTCTCCTGAATATTGCAAATTACTACTTTTGCGCTGAAAGTCCGTTACCATGGTGACAGTGCGCTTATGATAATTAAGCTCAAAATTTGTCTTTTTCCGGCCGTTTTAAAAATTTTAAAATTTGCATAAAAGATCTTTCTCGTATAATGATTTTTTTCTTCAATTTTAAAAAATTCAATGGAACGGTATTTAGATTATTCCCTTCAATAATTTTTTAAGAAAAAAGGATATTGAGCTTGTTTAGCCGATATTAAGAAATGTGCAAAGTTTTAAAACAATTTACCGAAGGAAAAAGGGTGAAATTTAGGTT